TCAGCTCTATGCAGGTGCAAGCCCGTGTGCTACGCTCCCAAGTCCTGTGCCTCATGCGATGTGTTCCTGCTCCTGCTCGCGCTCCTGCTGGGTGAGGTGATGCTGGGCGAGTGGCTGCCCGGTGTCAATGGGCTCCCACAGCAGCGCGTCAATGGCAATGGCATCCACTGGCCGCCCTGCCCAGGTAGGTACGAATAACGAATAGGCCGCTTGTAGCTTGCCGTTAGTGGCCCGGAAGTGCGCTTATCACAGTGGCGGGAATGGCTGCTGCTGATCGGTACTCCGTCCATTACCTTCGCAGTGTGATGTTCCATGTTCCACATGTTTCGCTTCCTCTCGTTCGTCCAGACACTCCCACAAGCCCCCAAGCCAAGCATTCATCATGGAATGCTTGCGTACGCTTCACGTCGTCCACCTTTCATTGCTTCGTGTAGTGCTGTCCGATATCTCCAAAACAAATGTTTCTGACCAAGGCTTACGGCAGCAGAGACCCCAGACCGCCCGCAACGGCACCTTTTTACCTCCGGGAGGCTGAGTCTGAATGCCCAGCCCGCCAACTTCATTGGCTTCTTCACCTAGACTTTCGCTCGCTGGCATTGGCACTTTCCGCACTGGCATTGGCATCGCCAATTCAGCAAAGTACACAACCGCATATGCAGGGTATCGATGTCCATCACCACACGTCGTTTCGTTTCCAGTTTCTCTCTACTAAGCATCCCTTCGGCTTCACTGGGTCCCTGCCCTCTCCCCTACGGTCCCTGCCCTACCACCACGCCCTCGCCGTGGTTCCTGTCTTCATTTCGTTAATAGAGTTCAGACCACTCGCCATGCAGTGTACTAAGAACGCAGAAATCAGTCACTGCCCACGGTCCCAAATAGGCCCCAGAACGTCGAGAAAAACGAGAGATAGAAGCCCCTGCGAGCCCGCTAGTCCCATCTGCGTAGAAATATGCTCTCTTGCCCTGGGATGCTCCCGGCCCGGACCCTTCGTCCCCATGCCTCCACGCCCCAAATCGCATCCCTTCGATTGCTCATGTTTCTTCACATTGTTGACTGTTGCCTCTGCGGCGCGCATCGCATTCGAACATTCGGATGATGCTGAGAGGATGAGTATTCCTCCATTATGCTGATTGATGTCTGGGACTGAAGCGGCGGCAGCAGTGAGGCCCGGCCAAGCCCTGGGTATTCGCAGGCGCATTCCCAGAGCGCCGGCTTGTCCCAGGGCCCTTCCTCACTTCCATTTTAGCATCCGGGGCTTGTGAACCCTTCGCCCAATCACCTTTCTCCCGATTCTGTCTGACACGCTAGAAAGGGTAGCAGCCCAGATCCAACCTAAGACACTGCAAGGAGCCAAAATAACGACCAGGGGCACCACCACTGACCAGCGTGCCTGGTTAGTTTCTCCGCCCATTTTTTAGGCTTCGTTGGCCCCGGGGGAACGTGTTGGACCGACCGGGTCCGTCGACGCGGGTCGCTATCTCCCCATGCCCATGACCAGTCACTTGCGCATTGTAACGCTGCCTGTGTATATGCTGCTGTGTACAAACGGGCAGATCACCGTCGGACTGAGCCTATGACAACTTCTCGGCTTCGTGGCTGTGTCTAGCTAAGGTATGCCGGCCTACGTATGCTGATCTCTAGCCTTCTCCGAGGGCTGCTGCTGCCCTGGACGGTTGAAAGCTTACCGTGCAAGCTGTCCACGGCTACCTCCAGCTAGCTTCCGGCCTACTCAGCACTCACCAATTGCCAATCCGATAGAGCCTGGCGGTCCCAGCCCAGCCCAGCCCAGCTATCTTATGCGTGGGTTACAGGTCCTCCAGGGGTCATCCCCTGCGTGGCTTGACTGTCAGAGAAACAGAGAGAGTTGGCCCGTTGCCCGCACTCCCCCAAGCCAAGATTCGAGTGTGAGGCGAATGGGGGGAGAGACAAGAAGAACTGGGAGGGTAGCCAGGGACCGGGGGCCGACTCCTGGGGCGAGACACGAAGGGCACAAGAAAAGAGATGACTTTGTGCTAGTGTGTCGAAGTCGATGCCCATCTCTCTCTCCTCTCCTCCCAGCGCCAAGATTCCTGGGATGACGACGTGGGGAGCAACAAGCAGGTGCCATTAAACCCAAAATCCCATGGCAAAACGGTTGGCAGAAACCAAGACAACGCGCCCAAAAGGCAAAGCCACCGGGGTTGTATCCCGTACCGCTGCGTCCTCTTCCTGCTAGCTGGCTAGCTACCCGACGCTTTGAACCTAGTACCGCACCGCACATCCTACTCTCAACGTGCCACGGAGCTGGGCTGCCGGCGCTCACCCGACATTTCTTCATAAGAACCCCGGAGCTCCCAACCCTTCACTTTACCACCCGTCTCAAGTTGCCGTGATACTCCAACGACTAGCTCGGAGCCTCCCTGCATATCAACGCACAAAGACGTACGTTACATTCCGACGTGCTTTCTTTGATATAACTAGCTGCGGGTCCACATCAACTACTTGAGCTCCCAACGACTAACACAACTTTCAGTTATCTCTGAACCACCTAGACGAGCAAGACACACATCATCATGAAGGCCTTCACTGCCTCCGCCCTGGCTGCGGCTCTCTGTAAGCTCTGCTAACTCAAAACTGTCCTCCTCAGTGACTAACGTCCTTAGATGTGGCGACGGCGTCTGCCGACCCCGTCCAGGCGTGCCCCAACGACGTCTGCTTCAAGGTCGCGGTCCCCCAGGCCGCCGCCAGCTCTGGCTCCGGCAACCTGTACTTCCAGATGTCCGCCCCGACCAGCTACCAGTGGGTAGCCCTCGGCACCGGCTCGACCATGTCCAACTCCAACATGTTCATCATGTACACCGACGGCGCCGGCAACGTGACCATAAGCCCCCGCACCGCGCGCGGCCACAACATGCCAACCGTTTCCGACAACGGCGCGGCCCTGACCCTCCTCGGGGGCTCCGGCGTCTCGAATGGCAAGATGGTCGCCAACGTCCTCTGCACCAACTGCGCGTCCTGGAGCGGCGGCTCCATGTCCCTTAACTCGGCCAGCACCAACTGGATCGCGGCCTGGAAGTCCGGCAGCGCTATCAACTCGGCCAGCAACAGCCAGAGCATCCAGCAGCACGACGACCACTCGAGCTTCACCCTCGACCTCACCTCGGCGACCGTCTCGTCCGACAGCAACCCATTCACCGGGGCCTCGACTGGCGGCAATGGAAGTGGTAGCGGGAACAGCGGCGGCGGCTCTACCAGCGGTGGCAGCGGCGTTGTATTTAACGGTGGTGGTGGCAAGTCCGCCATCCTCCTCGCTCACGGCGTTATAATGTCGATCGTCTTTGTTGCCTTGTACCCTCTCGGCGCCATGCTCATGCCTCTGGTGGGCAAGTGGATGGCACACGCTGTCTGGCAGTCCGTCGCCTTCGCCCTGATGTGGGTTGGCTTCGGCACTGGTTATGCCTATGCCCGCGACAACGATTATGTGAGTTGCTTTTTCTTTTGTAAAACCCGGGAGACCGCGTCCCTTCCCATCCCGCGGACGGTCTCCCCTCCCGATGCCCCATCGTCGGGCCACTCTTTCCATCCAAGCCCTGAACCGTAAGCTGATACGTGATGCTCTCGTAGTTGTTCAACAACACCCACACCCTCCTTGGTACTGCTGTCACCGCCCTGTTGGCCATCCAGCCGTTCCTCGGCTACGCTCACCACGCGTACTACAAGAAGTTCCAGGGCCGCGGCATCATCAGCCACGTCCACATCTGGTACGGCAGAGCCTTGATGATTCTCGGCATTATCAACGGCGGCCTCGGTCTCAAGCTTGCCAACACGCCCAACCGATACGTCGTTGCCTACTCGGTCCCCGCAGCCATCCTGGGCGTCATGTGGCTCGGCGCCGGAGTCTGGGGCGAGATGCGCAGGACTCCTCGCATGAAGCAGGAGCACAGCCACGAGTCGTCCGAGTCGCAGCAGCGCATCCCCTACCGCCAAAAGAAATAGAGACCGGGCGACGTTGACCGGAACCCGTAGACAACAGAGAAACAGAGACGGACACAGTGATTACACTTTTTCACCAAGATGTTATTATTTGGGGTACGGCTGTATCGAGATACGCTTGTATCTCTTTAGATAATACCTATTGAGGCCTAAACCGCAACTAACGCAGCTTGTGGTTTCTGGGTTTGATGTGTAGCTTGGAGTTTGACGGCGTTAGGTAGCGAGCCAGTCCCCCGATGATGACGGGGGAGGCTATGAATTCATGATCACTTGATCTTTCACCATATGTGGGCCAGCGATGCGTGACTGTATGCGAGCAATACAACTCACAGACGACGTAGGTGAAGCGCCAACATCGGTTGACATGGGAAACCAGATGAACAAGGTGGGATGATGACGACGAAGGCTAAGGTCTGTGAGGTGTGAGGTCATGATGTAAGTGAAAAGACGATGAAGAAGGTCTCGGCACACTAGCCGGATCGCATGGAGCTTAGGCCGGGGAGATGGACCCAAACGTTGGTGTCGCGGGGGGCAGCCACGGTGGCTATGATGTCGGTGGACTGACGAAACCGTTTGCCAGCTTGCGAAGAAGCTGCCTGGCCAAAGAAAGTACGCCGTCAAGCGCTTGCTATTCCACGGGATCTAGAACCCAGCAGCTGCTGCAAGTAAAGCAGCTTTCTGCATGAATTGGCGGTGGGAATCGCATCACGTGATGGCAGTCCACCGCCCACCATTCTTGCTCCTCGTTTCCCCGAGCCGCCAGTGCAGGTGGGGAGAGAGGTGTTCCTTCCACCGAGCGGGCGGGAAAGAAAGACAGCGAAAAAAGCGGCCTGAGGCACCCACAAAGCCCAACCACAGCGGTGATCACTGCGTCGTCCAACCGGCTGGCCGTTGGCTCGTTCACTCTCCAGCTTTTTACGTCCCGTCCGTACAAAACCCTCAACCACCTCTGCCGTCCTCACCCCCCATCCGCCCCCCGGTGTCGTTCTCCTCCTCCCCCAATTGAGCCAGCCACACCCACATTCAAGATGCTCGTCCAATTGTCCAGAGCTACCGTGAGTCTTTGCCTCTGTCCCCCGTTGATGATGTTGTTTTGCTGTGGCCCCAGGGAGGGGTGGTGCTGTCGCGGTCGCGCGGTCGGAAGGAAGTGGGAAGAGAAAAAACTGACGAGCATGACCAGCGCGCCGTTTCGGCTGTCACTCGGCTGGCGAGGCCCAGCGCCGTCCAGATGAGGGGATTCATCGCCCCCACGGTCTCGCGGAGAGGTTCGTAAATCCCTTTTCCGATTTTTCCTGTCCTTCATCTTGTCGCAATTGCCCCGGGGAGATGCGGGACGATGGTTCGTTGCGGTTCTGGTCGGATTGCCGATGCGGCCAAGGGAGACCAAAGCTCCGAAGCTGAGTGGTCCGCGAGTGACGATATCGGTCATCGACTATCAACCAACAACATCGAAATCTGTCACTGTCCCACATGAATCCAATACCGAAGGACGATGCCTTTCAATGCACAACATCATCCGTTCCAGACCTCCCCGTCGTCGCCCTCTTCAACCACACTTGCACCCCGCCTTTGTCGTTGTCGATCATGCCTCGCTAACCCCGATACAGCCGACTTCGTCCAGGAGCTCTACCTCAAGGAGCTCAAGGCCTACAAGCCTGCCGCTGTCAAGGACTCCGACGCCCAGGGCCAGGTTCAGACCTTCTCCGTCCCCCAGACCCCCAAGTCCCCCGAGGAGACCGACCTTGCCGCCAGCCTGAAGGAGTACGAGAGCATGGCCGTCGAGGTTGAGGGCCAGGACGCCGCCGTCGCCGCCGGCGGCCAGCCCGTCCAGCACGACTGGCTCATGATCGAGGAGGATGAGGAGGAGCCTCACCACTAGATGTTGTCGTTTAAACGAATAAAACCAGCCCTCGATCCGATATAAAAGGGGACCATCAAACTTTTTTTTACGTCCACACCCGAACGATAAAATTTATACGTCAACCGACCCGAAAGACTTTCCTCGCCTTCTTTTTATCTATTCTCCCCCGATGAACAAGAAAAAGTGCTTTTCTCTGCGACTCGAAGAAGGCTTGGATTGTCTTTCACCTGCCGCTTGCCGACGGACCGATGGAGCGGGGAGAGCGTTGCTATGTTTTGAAACGAGAGAAAGAGAGTGAGACAACGTTAGGAAACGAAGAGGAGAGTAAGGGGAAAACGAAGGGAAGGTGTGCTGGGAGGTGGTAATCCCGTGTATATTGTCCAACTGAACCTCGCTGGCTAGGAAATGCTATCAGCATACACTCATTTGTGCTTCCCACGTCATACATGGCGCTGGTATCGTTCCGTGCAATCTGCCCAAGTCTTTGCCCCCGATATATTTGCATCGTCGGACTTGACTGTCACTATTGCCTCCAGACTGTCTCGAACTGCGTCTTGAGCACTTCACCCAGACATCAAAACACATCGGAGGGCATGTGGACCCGGAATCTTCCGGAACATCGTAGACAGGACATTCGACACCCACAAACACCGACAACTCGACCACCATGCAACAAGCTCAAGCATTGAGGGCACACGACAACCCTCGATTGTGCGCATAAGCAGGTGTCTTGCGAAGAGTCATTCTGAACTGTACCGTCAATGCGAGTCCGTCCAGCAACGAAACAACAAACACAGCCAACGCCATCTGCTGCTACGGATCCACAATCAACTTGTTTACGTTCATGCGTTGTTGGCCTGAATCATTTCCCGAGATCCTGCACTAGGTAGAGTCTGACGTCGTCTTGCAAAGCATTCTTAGAAAAGGGGGGAAAAGCCTCAACTCCTGTCTGGGAGATAAAAACAGCAGTCAGTCCATGATCAATTCAGATTGAACATTGTCGTCTCCCTCTATGTACCGCATTCTAGCAAGCAGCAGCACACAGAGACACATCATCCACTACACAGGGCACTCTCTCAGTTTTTTACACAGGTAAAGATTGTCATAGGGAACGGTTTCTGTCTTTCAAGCTAATTAGGTTTACTATAGACAGACAGTGCTTTCGTGTTGCCTTCCCCCGTTCCCCGGTCTCTCTTTCCTCTTTGTCTTCCTCTGTTTCTTGTCGAGATGTGTCTGTTCCACATCTCTCTCTCTCTCTCTCTCTTTCTCTCTCTCTCTCTCTCTCTCTCTCTTTCTCTCTCAGGTCTCCTAGGGTCAAAGCAGCAGTAAAAGAACGCAGAGCTCCCAGGTGGGATTACGCAGAGCCAAGTAGGTTTGGCCCCCAAATTTCTTTCGTCCACTTCCTCCCCCATCACCCGAACTGCCCCGTTGAGTTTTCGTTGAATCTCCTCGAGGAGAGCTCTGGAATGAACCTCAAAACATGCATGCATGAAAGAGCAAGACGTCATTGAATGAAAGGGCGATTCAAAAACATTGAGAATGAAGAAAATAGGTCACCAATGTTTTAAAAACTGCCCCAGGTATCCAGAGTCTCAAGAAGCATAGTGTGTATAGGCGCTTCAATCAGCTTGGAAAGCAGCATTCTGGAGGCCGATCCAGGTTCTCCCTCCCCCGCCAATATTCATCGCTCTGCCCAAAACGCCATGTACCGAATACACCCTTAATTATCACATGCAGAGTTGACCGCCCTTATGCACTGAATCCATGAATGTTCGTTTTTGACTTCGTGATGACGACCGTATGTGTGTGTGTGTGTGTGCCCGCGCGCGCAATTGTTTGCAAAGGAAACAGGCTGTGTGATGAACTTTTTCTCGTCCTCAAAATAGAACCAAAAAGACGGATCAGCTGACCAAAGCAACAAGACCTTTAGACGTCAAAGTGGCCACCTCCAACCATTTGCTCGTCGTTGGTGGTTGTCCGCACAATGCCACTCATCCGGTTGCCTCTTTGGTTCATGTCTTCTAGGTCGTCCCAGTCGTCATCCTGGTGGTGCGAGTCGCGCATCTCTTCGTCATCGTATCGGTTCTTATCTCGCATATGATCGTCAAGGGCGCTCTCGTCAACAAAGGTGAAGCCCTGGAAATTGGCCTGCACAGATGGCGAGAGGGGTGTGGATGTAGCAAAGCCCCTTGAAAGGGCTGCTGCCCGCTCATTCAGAGAGCCGTTGTTGTCCAGTGCGTTGGTGAACTCAGGGTCGAAGTAGGACACGTCGGTAGCAGAGGTCAATTTCGGCTTGAATGGCGGGGTGATGAGCTTCTTAGCCAGGAGCTCCCAATCAATGTCACCAAAGAATGGGTGGCGCTTCAGCTCTTCAGCATCATCCGTGGCACCCAGGCGGTGCTTGGGGTTTCTGTTGAGCAGCCCCTTGACGAAGTTGCGACCCTCCTGCGACAGAGTGTCCCTAGGGAAGCGGACCTTGCCGAATGCGATGTTCTTATACATCTGCTGGGTGTCCTCCGCATAGAAGGGGCTCCATCCACAGCACATCTCGAAAACAAGAACACCCAGAGACCAAAAGTCGACCATCTTGGTGTATCCTGACTCGTCGAGGAGCACTTCAGGGGCGAGGTACTCCGTCGTGCCGCAAAACGTGTTGGTGGTGTCGTTCTTGGTCAGGTTCGCCTTGGATAGACCGAAATCACAGAGGGCAATGTGGCCGTTGGCGTCCAAGAGAATGTTCTCCGGCTTCAAGTCTCTGTAGACGATGTCGTTGTTGTGCAAGTGCTGGATGGCCAAGATAAGTTCTGCAATATAGAACTTGGCTCTTCGCTCATCGAACCTGCCCTCCTTTTGCAAGTGCCAGAACAGCTCTCCTCCAGACATGTAGTCGGTCACCAGGTAGAGATCCGATGGTGTTTGGAAGGAGAATTTCAGACCCACGATGAAGGGTGAGTCTGACATGGCCGTCCGGACCAAAATGTTACGTTCGCCGACGGTATGGGCCACTTCTTTCTTCTGGACGATAACCTTCTTGGATAGGACCTTCATGGCGTAGATCCGTTCGGTATCCTTCTTGCGGACTTGGTAGACCTGCCCAAACGTTCCCTTTCCGATGAGCTTGAGAATCTGAAAGTCCTCAGGTCCGAAATGCTTCCTCTCCGTGCGGTGGTAGATGGCTTCGACATGGATTTCACCGGTCGGAGCGTTCTCGGCCATCGTGTCGGCGTGTCCCTTGAGCGCGTACCAGCCACGAACCGGGTTATTAGAGTCCCTGTTCGCCTGGAAGTCGACATGGCCAAGAAATTCCTCGCCATTCGCGCTGTGATCATAGACCGAAATATCCACCAGCATGTTGGAGTCGACAACGTCACTAGCTTGGGTTAGTCCTGGAATCATGGAAGGGTTGTGATGCCAACTTACAACTCTGCTTCGGCGTCCCACTTGGGGCTAGTGAAGAAAAGCTTCGACTTGTTGCGGAACGTGTTGTAGTCGGAAATGCTCGTGTTGCTGCTTTGTCGGCTACGCATGGGGATGGACATCGCCGGCCGTCCAGAGTCGCTTCCTTGCCTCTGGATCGGAATGCCTCCCATGGACGGCGGCGGCAGGTTCACATGCTCCTCTTCCTCCTCAACAGAACGCGGACCTCCTGAAATGAGCTCGCTTCTCTGGAAGACAGCGACCACGTAGGGGTCTCTAGCACGCCTCAAGCCCTTCGCCTCAATGATCTTGATCGTGAGCTTTCCCTTCGCTGCAGGCACTTGAGCACCGGTTGAACCTCTGGGCGTTTGTGTACCACTAGGAGGAACCGTCTCATTACTGCTTCTTTTAGAGCCCGACCGCTCCTCAGAAGGCTGAGCAGCTGAGAGGGCTCGAGTGGGGGTTGGTGGTCCGCTCTTTATACCCGCGACTTGTGTTAGCTTCTTGAGCTGATCAAGTGAGGAAGAGTTGTCAAGGAAAGAGGTTTCCTGCGCTGAACCGATCTGGGAATGTGTGGGAGACATTGGTGTGATGTTGGGTTTGGGGAGACTGGGGTTGGATATGTGATGAGCATGCACTACTGATGTAGTGACCATGCTTGAGGGTTGCGACATGAGGGTGAGACTGCGGCACTTGGTCGTTGGGAAGTCTGATGAGTGTTTTTGGAGCAACGGTCGCGCAGATGAGGATGCAGCGGACCGTCCATCCCCGTACCACAATGACAGACTTCTCGTGGGACGTCCCATGGACGACCTTCGTGATATCGGCGGAGTCGGGTACTGATGAGTTCCCGGCAATGCCTGTGCCTTGGATGCAGTGTGTTGTGACGGAGCTCGCGGCGCGGGACGGGGGAGTGATGATGACGGGGATATTTGTTCAGAATCGCCACAGGGCACAGCAACCACTGAGCTGACCTGAGAGGCCGTCCCTTCCTTCTCGACTTGTTCTGTTGAGGGACCGGAAAGAGACTGCCCTCGCATAAAATCCGACGCGACAGGGGCAGATACAGAATTGTGAATAGAATCTGTACGAACCTGGCCGAAGTAGCTCATGATGCCCGGCAGGCGTTTGTCATGGAGGTCGGGCTGAGGAGTCGCCACACCGGAGCGAGGCGTGTCAAAGCCGATTTGATCCGCTCCATCATCGTCAGCCGGAGCGGCAGCCCTGTTTCGGGGGTCAACAGTGAGGTTCATCATCGTTGGCGTTGATATGAGCGCAAAAGCATGGAATCTGCGTTGCGGATATAACACAACAGAGAGGAGACGAGCACGCTGGGTAACGGAGCGAAAAGCGGAGGCAAATTTGGAGGACGGAGCTAGCTCATGACGGCTGCCAAGCCCATGTCCAGTCTGGTAGGGACAATTGCAGTGTTGGAGACAGGTACTCGGAAGTAATGGTAACGAAGCGGAGAATAAGAGAGGTTTTTGGGCATGTATTGCTGATGACGGAAAAGGACGGGGAAATTTTTTCGACCTTTTCGGCGCGGGTGGCCGCAAGGATGCCGTCGCAATAGCTACCCGGGTAGTGCGATTTGAGGGGGA